GGATACACAATCGATATAGTCGGCCAACTTGTAGATAAGCATGGACAAAAATCCTTGACTTTAGGTCAAAGGCACTATCTTCGCAATAAATAAATGATGACACACATGCTTTAATGGCTTAATCTCAATTGTGTATTAAAGTTAACTTTATTTTAAAATATTCACATATAGTTATGCATACCATTAAGTTATGTGTATGTGACTTGAAGAGTTATTAAATTGTCTTGTGTATGTATGTTACTTTAGTAGGTACCACGCTATCATTACCAGAAGGTGGTGTTGAGAACCTCAAGCCTGGCCCAGGTAATATGCCCTATACTATACAATTGATGATATCAACATATATGTTGATCAAACCACAATTTATGTACAACAAAGCTGCTAACAACTATTATTAATCACCAGTTGTAATAAAATTGAAATTTGGAATACATTCAAAGGGGAGTTTTGACTTGTCAAAAATATTTGTATTAGTTTGTTTACGAAGTTACTGAAAAATGGACAAGTTGTTTGGATAAATGTAAAATAATAAAGAGCATCACTGTTTATTTAGCTTTATTGGTGGGGTATTTGGACTATCATGTGACATTATATGTTTGGAATAAACTCAAATTGTTGGTGTTATTTGTTGTCATGGGACCTGAGTATTGGAGGACTATCATATGATCAATATCAACTTTCTACTAATAATGAATGATTGTATCTATATTGTAAAAGTCAGGCCTCTAGCAAAGCAGTACCAATTTAATTACTATCTGATTTGTATTTTTTTTTATGAATGATCCACCTCAGCACGACAATTAATACACTCAATTAAATGCGAGTAGTCAAGACAATCACCACATTTAGTATTATTCACTCACTATGCCAGTTTTCAGATGATCCCATTTTTTGGAACATTCAAACAATGCTGATAATAAAGTAATAATCAACAGTTTGCATGTGGCTATTATTAATAATTTAAATCATTTCTTCTGGTAACAGAGAAAGACGCATTGGCAGAAGAATTAGTCAAACTACTTGAGACCAAGGAATTAAATCCAGGGGAGATTGTCACTGTAAAATGTAACAACTGCACATGTGAAGCCGGTCATTTGATTTGTGCAAAAAAGAATGTAAAGGTAAATTATTTTTCATGTCAAGGGTTTTCTATAAGTTTCTACTATTGTTAACAAAATCTAGTTACATATAAAACCTATCAATACCCTGCTAACAAATTAATGACATTCTGTTGATAGTTGATGGAAATTGGGCATCATGGTCACCATGGTTTGAATGTAGTGTCACATGTGGCGGCTCTATTCAAACAAGAAGACGATTGTGCGCAAACCCACCACCTTCTAGTGGTGGAAAGCCATGTATTGGCCGCGCTGAAGACACAACACCATGTAATGAGGAACCATGTCCAAGTAAGTTAGAGAAAATACATAGGATATAATGCAAGGGTATATGCAGGCTTCTGAGATCAAAATATAATGTGTATAGGCAGACTGAACAATTTTATCACATGGAAGACTTCAAATGAATCATCTGTACATTAAACACTGATTTTGTCCTGGAGAACTGGTTCTTATAATGCCCTTATTTCAAAAGGGAATATTCCATTTAGTATTCCATTTGTGAATGGAGTACATGTGTCACATGACTAGTCAGTGCTCTGAATGTGTTGCTATTGCTCTGATGTCATTTGCATATTGATGTACTCGAGATCTAATTCTGAGAATCGTTGTCAACACATCAAGAAGTTTGAGCATATTAATCTACTATTCTTTGCATTCTTTGAGTTATTTATTGCGCAGTGAGGACCGAAACACATCATTTTTATCATATCCATTCGGTAGGGTCTATTCTTCTATACTAAAAAATGTTTGTTTTGTGGTCTTAGCATGTACTACATTTTATTTGGGTTTCTGGTGCTAGACAAACAGACTATGGCCGTTTTACTGTATCACACCTAGCTCATATTTGTTTGTGCTGATTGAGATTACTTGTATGAGCAGTTTGGTTGTCATATAGAATAATACATTTCAATGTCAAGAATTGCTTAATGTTATCAGAGCTGCATGCTAGGCTGGATGATTTGTAATTATATATACTACTTATACCCACTTGAATATGCAGATTATATATCAAACACAATGTGTATGTATTACATACATAACAAATCTTACGTCTACATTCTATTTATTTTAGGTCAACTACCACCTCCTCTACCAGAAGTGTGTCTAGTTGATATGTCCGTCTATGATGATATCAATCAACAAGCTGATGACAAATCACAAATAGAAAAACCAGAAGCGGGACAACCTGTTGGACATCTTAAAGATGGGACCTTAGTTTATCCTGGAGATGAATTGGATTCAGATGTAACATTATTTCTTGAATGTGGGAATTGGTGAGTTATCATGTATATAATATGTGAATTGTGGACTGTGATTAAGATTGTTAGTACATGGTAAAACAACATATATGAGTCAACTATGTATAAGTGCTGTATTTTCATTTAGAATTTATTTTCACTGAAGGAAAATTAATTCTAGCTAAAGCTATTTTACAGTACTCAATCATCGTTTTTTTTTCCACTGCAGTACATGCGATCATACTTCATTAAATTGCAAACCAGGTGCATGCACAGGTATGTAAATTTATTATATATATAATTTAATTGAAATTGAATTTTTATTTCTTTGTTAAATTATTGAGTTAGTTTGATCTGAACTGAGCTTCCTGTTTCAATATATTTTTTTTAATATAATTTTTATTAATTGTATAATGGCCTCTGGCCCATTACAATCATACAAATTAATTATTGACAAGAAATAAATTTACATTACAAAATATGTATGAAAATATAGATGAAGAGGGTGTCAATAGATAATATAAGCACTATATAATGTGATGGGGATATTAATATGTATATACATACATGCTTATTAGGTTATTCTCATTTGATCTTTGATTAAAAAACACTTAATAAATAAAGCTAACGAGTTAATGATTTGGCTTTTAGAGGAACTTAATAGTTGTACTAGAGTATTCAAATTTGGGGTTTGTGTCTCATTTGGGAGATACTTTTTCCTGATTATGTCGCATGAAGTGCATTTTAGTAAAAAAATGATATTCATCATCAATTTCTTGCAGGCATAATTGACAAATACGGCCCTCCCTAGGGATATTATTATGTCTGCCTCTTTCTATTTCTAACGGATGGCACGCACATCTTAATCTTGCTATTGCTCTGTGCAATTTTCATTGTGGCAATGACACATAGCTTCCTGTTTCATTGTTGTAAAAAAGGCAAATTTACCAATTATTATTATGCTGATTCGATTCCCAGAGGATGGAAACTGGAGTTCATGGTCACCCTGGGGCGAGTGCGATCGCACATGTGGTGAAACAGCAGAGCAAGTCAGAAGTAGAACATGTGACAATCCATCACCTGCCAATGGTGGCAGAGAGTGTGTTGGGCCTGAAATAGACAGAAAATATTGCAGTGTTCCAGAATGTGCAGGTATTTCTTGATTCGTAAATTGAATTTCATGTTTCAAATACTATATCGTTCAAGGCAATCAATAAGTCAGCCAAGTGAGTCAGAAGTCGTTATTCACTCATTGTATTAGCATTTACTGAATAATTTCGTTTTTTTTTATTCAGTAAATGGTGAGTGGACACCATGGTCTGAATGGAGTGAGTGCTCAGCAACTTGCAATGGAGGCTTCATCAACAGATACAGAGACTGCACAGACCCAGAACCTCAGAATGGTGGAGAAAACTGTCCCGGTCTTGCTCAGAACACTGAAAGATGTAATACTGATCCATGTGAAGGTGAAGTTGTTATTTGTTATCACTACAATCAAATCAAATCAAATCAAATCAATTCAAATATTTATATCAATACTTATTGAAGCCAAACATCAAACTATGTTACTTAGCCTTGAAGTCAGACAAGTTAAATAGTGTTACCATGGTAACCTAGCACTGAGCATCTATTCGTTGTTTACACCAAACAATATATGACGAATTTCAAGTCTGTCCATATTTGTCCAAAATATCAACTACTGTAAAATATTTTTAATTATTTTGACTATTTTCACTGAAATGAATCAGTGACAAATACAATCCAGTGAAAATGTTTGTTTTCTTATATTTTACTATTAACTCATCAAAAATCAGTGAAAATAAAATAAAGAAAAAAACTACCATTGAAAATGTTTTTTTGAGCAAAAATTAATTCCAGTAAAAATATTTTTTTTTACAGTATATGTTCCTACACTACTCACTCAGAATGAAAACTCAATTGAACATTGCAAGGTATGAAACATTTACTGACTGTTCCATTAACTTAATACACATTTTGTTCTATTCACAGAGGAATGTACTGATGGAAAAGAGTATACAAATTGTGAGGATGTAGTTTGTCCTGCTACTTGTGATGAACTATCCGAGAAGACGAATTGTGCGGAGTGTGTTCCTGGTTGTCATTGTGCTGAAGGTAAAGTTGAACAAGACGGAGAATGTGTGGATGTATCTGAATGCAGATGCCCATTTGATATGTCAGCGCTTATAAAAGTACAAGGACCACTGACAACTCCTGCAAAAAGTGTTATTGAAGAAATTGCAACAACACCCAGAATTAGACTGACCGGCCCAGAACCAGGTGAACCATTTGGACCGGGTGGTCCACTCGGGCAAGGTGGGCCAGGGGGGCCTGGAGGACCTGGTGGACCTGGAGGACCTGGAGGACCTGGTATGTTTGCTTAAATTTTCATTATTTACAAAACATTTCTTCACTTGCTAATATTTTATAGTTAAAACCATCTGATATGGTTATCAAGTTATAAGCATTTATTTCTTTCTTTCACAATAATTCCAGGGGGTCCTGGTGGACCAAATGGTCTTGGTGGACCAGGAGGACCTACACTTTCACCTGAAGAAAAAGATGAACTACCACAACCAGGAGAACCATTAGGCCCTGGTGGTCCAGGTGGTCCTCTTGGACTAGGTGGCCCAGGAGGACCAGGAGGTCCTGGTGGACCAGGCGGGCCTGGTGGTCCTGGAGGACCAGATGGCCCAACTCTAAAATCTGATGAGACATTACCACCTAATGTTGGTGAACCTGATGGCCCAGGAGGCCCTGGTGGCCCTGGAGGACCTGGTGGCCCTGGAGGACCTGGAGGACCAGGTGGACCTGGAGGACCTGATGGACCCGGGGGACCAAATGGGCCGGGTGGGCCAAATGGACCTGGAGGACCAAATGGACCAGGTGGCCCTGGAGGACCTACATTATCTCCTGAAGAGAAAGAAGAATTGAAAATACCAGAAAATGTTGGAAAGCCAGGAGGCCCAGGAGGCCCTGGTGGTCCTGGTGGACCTGGTGGCCCAGGAGGCCCTGGTGGCACAGGAGGCCCTGGTGGCCCAGGAGGCCCAGAGTTACCTACAGATGTTACACTTATTCCAGATATTGGGGAACCAGGTGGTCCTGGAGGTCCAGGTGGACCAGGTGGACCAGGAGGTCCAGGTGGACCAGGGGGACCAGGAGGTCCTGGTGGCCCAGGAGGTCCTGGTGGCCCAGAAGGTCCTGGTGGCCCAGAAGGTCCTAGTGGAACAGAAGGTCCTGGTGGACTGGTGCCTTTGGAAGGTATGTATCCCCTTGCACATTTTTTTCAGTTTTTGGACTATATATTCTTTAATAAACTGAAAAAATATTGTCATTTAAAAATGTTTCTATTCACATTATGTATTTCAGCTGTACCTGTTGGATATCTGGATAGTGGTGAAATTATTAAAGTTGACTGTAATAACTGGTAAGTCAGTGATGTGTTGAATTTAACTTGTACACCACATACATCACAAAAGTTTGTATTTCTTAACATTTAACATTTTTAAAACAAAATTTATTATGCTTTTCTCATTAGCACTTGTGTAGCTGGACAATTGGACTGCACTCAACATGATTGTAAAGGTGGGCACCAAGAAATTTACAATATTTAGAGATTTCAGTTACTCATTGACAAACATAACGATTTTTATTTCAGTCAATCAAATCTACAATTCACTGACATTTTCACTATTTATCATTATTGCATATCAGAGGATGGAGAATGGTCTCCGTGGACATCTTGGACACCATGTTCTAAAACATGTGGAGAAGAAGGATCTTCATTGAAATCACGTAGTAGAGAGTGTGACAACCCTCCTCCAAGTGGTGATGGGAAGGAGTGTGAAGGAAACGGATCTGAAGAAAAAGACTGTGAAGTTCCAGCTTGCCCCGGTAAATATATTGTTGAGTAATTGTTGCATGTTTTATTATCATTATAGTTCTGCAAAAGCAGAGTCTGTCACTCAAGTCTGTCTCATCTAATCATTTATGATGTGCAATCAGTATGAATGATCAGCCTTACCTAGTATTTAATTATATAAGCCAAGTTTGATTGAAATGTAAATGTCTATGTTATAAATTTGAAATACTTCATAAAGCATTTATTGAATCATTGTTGCAGTGATTGGTGAATGGGCTACATGGTCACCATGGTCGGAATGTGAGGTAACATGTGGAAAAGGTCTTATTGTCAGGTCTAGGGAATGTGAAAATCCTGATCCAAATGCATCTTCATTGAATGGCACTTGTGTGGGCAAAGATACAGATCGCAAACTTTGTAAAGCTCTCCAAGATTGCCCAGGTATAGTTGTTATATTTCAAGCTATGCATATTTACGTAAAGAACAATTTGATTGAGATGTTTCATCAAATGTGATAATTTTATTATCAATCTTATAACAGTTATCGCAGAATGGAGTCCGTGGTCACCTTGGAGTGAATGTAGTATTACTTGTGGGGGTGAAGGTGTTGTAACAAGAGGTAGATCATGTGGCATCCCAATACCAGTCATAGATCCCTCACAATGTGAAGGAAATGATGAAGATATGAAATACTGCACTAAACCAGAATGTCCAAGTAAGTAACTTAATAATATGCATTGTATACTATTTACATGCTTTATTGCTCGAATTAATCCCAAATTGTACCTTGCAGTAAATGGAGAATGGTCACCATGGTCACCGTGGTCCGAATGTACAGCAACCTGCAATGGCGGTGTAATCACCAGACAGCGAAATTGTGACAATCCACCTAAATCTAATGGAGGTGATGATTGCCCTGGCGAGTCTGGTCAGTCTCAGGAATGTAACGTAGATGTGTGTCCTGGTGAGTCATACAATAAGGCTATCCATACATGTAATACTATTTTATTCTTAATTTATAGACTGGGATGGACTCTCAAAATAACTGCATGTACCACCTTGCCTATATAGGTGTTGACCTACATTTCAGGTGTCCAAAAAGTGATAATTTTTAGCCATTTTGTGTCCACGTAAAGTATAGAAAGTACTAAACAAATTTAATTTAACTCAATTACTTTTCAAAAGGTCTCCAATAATAATCAGTTGTTTCTATGACAGTGATGAAATAAGTATTCTAATTTATTATTGGGTTAAAATCATGGTATTTTCTCTGAAAATTATTCATAGACTAAAATTTTAAAGATCTCACAATCTAAAATAATATAATAATACATATTTCTTTAGGTATTATATAACACATAAAAGATATACTACAATTTGGTAAAAAGTTATTGTTAAATTATTTTTGTTGATGTTTTGGAATTGATTATTTAAAATCCAAATAACAAACATATGTTGGCAAGGAGGTGATTAAGGGCCTTGCAGGAGGTCTTACCTAAGGCTAATATTGCATTTCTTGATTCAGGTGAGACATGCGATGATGGGAAGGTTATGGATAACTGTGATGATCCGAATGCCAAAATGTGTCCTATAACATGTGAAGATGTCTCTGGAATAACTACTTGTATTGAATCACCATGTACTCCTGGATGCAGGTGCCCTGAAGGAGAGGTGGAACAGGATAATGAATGTGTTGAAGTGGCAGAATGTAACTGTCCATATGACATGTCTATTCTTGGTAAACCTTTGTCTGCAGTTCAGCTAAGTACGACCGAATTACTAGGGGCTAGTGTACCAGCTGCAACTAATGAGCCTGGAGAACCAGGAGGTCCTGGTGGACCTCTAGGGTCTGGTGGTCCAGGAGGTCCCGGAGGACCAGGAGGACCTGGAGGACCAGGAGGACCTAAAGGGCCTTTTGGACCTGGTGAGTAATGATTTGTATCTTGACATCATGTACATAAAAGTGTTGTAAGTGTAAATATCAGTGCCTCAATTACACCGTGTATTCTAATTTCAGAGGGGCCTGGTGGACCAGGTGGACCCACATTATCACCTGACGAACTTGCAAAAATACCATCGTATTTACCTAAACTGAATGAACCTGGAGGTCCTGGAGGGCCTGGTGGGCCTGGTGGACCTGGTGGGCCTGGAGGTCCCGGTGGTCCAGGTGGACCTGGAGGACCCGGTGGCCCAGGTGGTCCTGATGGACCTACATTATCACCAGATGCAACAGTAGCACCAGACATTGGAACAGAAGATGGGCCGGGAGGACCAAATGGGCCTGGAGGACCAAATGGACCAGGAGGACCAAATGGCCCAGGTGGACCTGGAGGACCTAATGGGCCAGGTGGGCCAAATGGCCCAGGTGGTCCTAATGGGCCTGGTGGACCAAATGGGCCTGGGGGTCCCAATGGGCCATGGGGTCCAGGGGGACCAGGGGGACCAGGAGGACCTGATGGACCTACACCAACTGCAGAAGAGAAGGATACTATTCCTGATGATGTGGGTGAACCACTGGGACCTGGTGGTCCCGGCGGGCCTGGTGGTCCAGGTGGACCTGGAGGTCCAGGTGGGCCTGGCGGGCCGGGTGGGCCTGATGGGCCACCCAAACCTGATGATGATGAAACTATTGGTGAACCAGGTGGACCTGGTGGTCCTGATGGTCCTGGGGGACCAGGTGGTCCCGGGGGACCTGGTGGTCCTGGAGGACCAGGTGGACCAGATGGGCCTGGAGGACCTTCTTCAGAAGAAAAATGTGAGTAGATTTTGTAAAATAATAACAACTAGTTTCTATTATTCACACTTTTTTAAAAAATTTTATGAAATAAAAAAAATAAAAACATATCTTTCTTTCTTTTTGATAGTCCCTGAAATAACAGGTATCACAGTTGTCGAGAGCTCAACAACAATTCAACTGGTCTGCAAAAATTGGTATGTTCTTATATGGATATATATTGTTTACGATACACACACAATGTAGAATACAGTTTGCCATTATAATGTACCAACTAATAGAGTAGTATTTAAACTGTTACGGTATTTCTCTTACATTTTCCAGTACATGTGAAGAAGGTAATCTAATATGCACAGAGGATCATTGCTCAGGTAAGTATATTTGATATATGCACAGAAGGTAGTAGTTATAACTCCTAATTCAAAGTACCATCTGATTTGTAAATTTTAATTGTCATTATTGTATACTAGCTACTGCTTGCATATAATGTGTTAAATTGATTATTGAATACACTGTAACCTCAATATAATGAACACCTTTATAATGAATTTCCTGATATAATGAACACATAACATGTCTCCCTCTCACAACAAACCCAATGTATAATGTGCTTCAATATATTTCACTATAACAAACTTATTGTATGTCTCCCAAAGAGTTTGTTATAATGAGGCTACAGTGTATATGGAGTAATAATACTTGCCAATCAATTGTAACACTATGTTAATTATATGCTTCAGTTAACGGAGAGTGGTCGCCATGGACACCTTGGTCGTCATGTTCAAAGACGTGTCAAAGGGACGGTGAAAGTGAGTCTGTGAAAACAAGAAGTCGCACCTGCACTGACCCGGAACCTAAAGGGGAAGGGAAGGAGTGTGAAGGACAAAGTAATGATGAAGTTTCGTGCGTCATCCCAGAATGTCCTGGTCAGTATTTTGTTATATTGTATTGTATGTTAAAATTATGCGCAGAATAATGTGTGACTACTTTAAAATTTAGAAGTAAGAATCAAATTATTTGTCAACAGGAGAATTCCTGTGATCTGTTGATAATAAAACAACACATAGTCATTTCACCACTTTCACTCACGTATTTTTAACATGTTATTTTAAAGTATTATATTTGCATATTTACTGAATATAAATAGCGTCTCTAACATTTTTTATATTCAACATCAGTTGCGTTGCTATAGGTAACTTAAAAATGAAAAAAAACATCTAAACAATCAAAAATAGTTAATAATATGTAATATCCACAGATTCATGATATTGAAAACCCAGAACAAGGAAATATATATATTAAAAACATTAATATAACATTACTTGACATGAGTTTATGTTGAAAGACAGTGTACTTTAATAACAATGTTAGCCATACTGCTTTCCATCACTTAATCTATGGCTTTTTCACAAAACACCATCAAATGAAAATGACTCGTTATAACTCTAATAATAAAGAAATAAAAAAGAAATACAAATCTAAATACTGATAATAGTGATAAATTTTATATAAATCCTCTTCCCATTTATCTCCACTTAAACTTAACAATATCTACTCTGACAAAAGACTCCTAACAGATTGTGCAGATATAGCTGAAAAGTTCAGTGAATATTTCACGAATATTGGTCTAAATTTAAATGCCATTATCTTAAATGTAGTGAATTTTGGCCAGTACCTGATGAATCATTCTAAATCGTTTTTTCTTCATTTGCAATTTTGATGTTTTTAAAGAAATTAGACATTTGGACCTGAGAAAGTTACTGGACAGGACTTAATTCATTAATTAATTAGTGATTTTATACTCTCTGTTAATCATTACTTTCAGTCTATACCTCATAACTATGTTTATTTTGACCTGTTACTGAAGATGAGAAAATAATTTTTCAAATATAAATGTGATACCTATAAATTATTATTATAATTATTTGAATCTCAAAAGGTTCTACTAATAATTTTATTTCTTAACAGCTACCCCAATGCCGACAATTGCAACGCCACCTGCTATTATACCTGCCGTTTTGCCAGCTGTTACTGAACCTGGTGAGTGCATCCATGTATCCATCCTTTATCAAAAATGTGATTCTCTCTATGATTTTGTTGCCACATTTACAGATCATGTATCTACACAACAAAAAACAAATATGACAGAATGAATAAATATTCTGTTGTATTTCATATATCTTAACCATGGTTCAGAGCTTACACTCTTGAGATGAAACTGGCAGACATTTGGATGCTATTTGAATACGCAACCTTGAAAGA